CTTGTGGGTGCCGGTGCCTGTCACTGCAACAAAGCATCATGGCTCCCCTCTGGGGAGACTCCAGAGTTCTGAAACGTTGTTCCACAAAGTAACTGTTGAATAGCCAAAAGGTGGAAGCAACCCAGTATCCACCAACAAATAAATGGATGGACAACATAGGGCATATACATACAATGGAGTATTATTCAGCCTTAATAAAGAAGACAATTCTGACATATGCTACAACATAGATGAAATATGAAGACATTATACTAAGTGAATTAAGCCAGTCACAAAAGGACAAATATTGTATGGTTCTCCTTATGGGAGGTAGCTAGAATAGTCAAATTCAGAGACAGGAAGTGGAATGATGGTTGCCAGGGGCTGGGAGAGGCAGGGGAAATGAGTTGTTTAATGCAGTCTTAGTCAGGGAGGATTAAAACATTCTGGAGATGGATGGTGGTTATGGCTGCATACCAATGGGAATGTACTTAATGCCACAGGAGTATACAATTAAACATGGTTAAAATTGTAATTTTATGTTATATGTGTTTTACCATGATAAAAAAAATCATCTCAAAGAATATTTTCTTGACACACTATGAAGTCTTAATCTTTTAATAACATGCTTCAATTTCAGACATCATTCTTAGTCTACTAGAAATGTTATTATTTTACAGAGCAAAGACTGTCTTTTCAGCCCCCACATCTCCCACATAAAGGGTGCTCAACAAATATTTGTTGAGTGAATGAGCTTGGATGCTTTTCCTTTTTAAAATAATTTTTATGTGTCACCCTTCTACAAACTGCATTACTGACATATTTTGCTACAGATGCTTTCAATATTTGGCTATTTGAGGAGACTGAGTTAGCAAGATTTTACATAAATACTATGATAACAGAAGCAGGAACGTTTGTGTCTAGTTCAGAAATGCTGAGAGAAAACAAGCCTTTGTGCATACAAAGATGCTTGCATTCTTACTGGTTGAAGCCCTGATAAATCTGGTCTTGATACTAAAGGTTGATGCTGATTTTCCCCAAAAATGACAAACTGGTAAAAACTCAACAACAATAATACATGTAACAAAAAATGTCAGACATATATAAAGTAAAATATAATGTTTTTGACTCACATAATACAGTCATTGGCTTTAACTTGAGAAATGCAGCTTTCCCCCAGCTTCATAATAGATTTCTCTATTACAATATAGAGGAGATAGACTCTAAGTGCTTTCTAATTCTAAATCTTTGGGCCAGCTATTATCCTTCTCCATTTGAAACTTTCCAGCAATAAAGACAAGAGTCGCCTTGAATCTGATCCCTACTAGATTGAATGGATTCTACTTTTGGTGTTCACTTAAATGACAGTGCTCCCAAGGAGTCTCTCCATAGGGTAAGAAGCCACCAACATCAAAAAATCAAGTCTAATTCCTTATTTTATGAAAACGATAGTGCCCCCTGGAGGCAGAAATCCATGTTCCTCAAATTCTGCACTTGAGAGATAATAATCTGATGACAATGGAGTAGTTTCACGTTTTAAAAAATCGCCTTCAGCAAAATAGAGAATAAATAATATTATGTAAACATTGTATCTTAGTTTATTCAACCTCTTGATTTAAAAAAGTGTAATTTTGCTGAAAGAAAACAAAAGTCCTCAAAAAAAATTGCTATAAGCCATAGTTCTCTGCCATCCCAGTCTTGGGTTTCCATAGCTATAGTGCAGGACAAGAATTATTTATAGTTAAAAGACATGTCAGTTAGCTCAGCTTACTAAAGTTCAAAATGCATTTGGCTGCCCACTGCTAAAGCCTAGTTTAAAAAGCTGTTATCTGTTACCAACGCTAACCATCCAAACAATTTGAACTTGGATTCATTATAATCCTGTGACCGAATCAACCCCAAGAAGCAGCCACCAGAAGCCACTTCCTGGCGCTCTTCCTGCTTCACAATTCTGACCTGGTTTCGAAGGTTCAGTTCCCCTCACAAGTCTCCTCCCATGCAAGCCTTTGTTCTTGCGACTTTTTTAAATCTCAAGATTATCCCCCTTCACTTATGTGAATCACTCAAGAATGGCCATAGATACAGGCCAAAAATCTACAGGAATTCAGAAAAGGAGGCCATCGGTAACATTAAGAAATGTCGAAACAGATTTGTGAAACAAACAGAGTGTTGTGAAAGATAGATGGAAATTCCCAGTATCACAAATGTGAGATATATCAAATTTACAGCCAAACATTATACATAGCTAATGCTAGACAACTGTGTCTAATTTTCATTTTAGAATTATCTCAGTACCAAAGTCAATGATGAATGATTATACTTGATTCATGGTCACGTCTACTCATCACTGTTTTCTATTCCTCTAACTGGTTTATGTACATTACATGCCAGATTTCTAGATGCTACTTTTATATCCCCACTGCACTTAGCAGGAAGACATGTACTTAGACTTCCATGTCTATATGTTCAATAAATTTCTGATAAATGTAAAATAAATGGCAGCAATTCCTTCTCTCTAATCACAACTGTAGAAACTGTGAAAGCTGGTTGTTATATAAGTGAACCAGCCCACATCTCTGGAGTGTTTGAATTTATGAGACTGTCAATTGATGATTCAGCTTCCAGCAGCCATAGTTACTTCTACAGGTATGTATACAATGAATTTTGGATGAATAATCTAGTTAATTATAAATAAAATAATGCATTCATGCACTCAACAAATATTTATTGAGTTCTCTTCCACTTGCCAGTAGGGAACAAAACAGACACAAATCCCTGAACTCTTGAAGTTTATATTAGAGTGAGGGGAACAAATGATACAAAATATAAATAAGTAAAATAGAGCATGATGGTGCTAAGAAGAAAACCAGGGCAGAGAATAGCAGTATGAAGAACTGCAATTTAGACTGGCAATGACAACACCTGAAAGAAGTGAGGGAGTGAACCATGCCAATATCTGGGAAAGACCATTCCAACCAGAGAGACCACCAAATGCAAAGGCTCGAGGAAGCCAAACTGGCAGGAACATGTGAGAGAAGGATGGAATAGCAGGAGATGACTTCAGAGATATAGGATGGAGGACAAAATCATAAAATCATGTAGTTCATTATGGAAACTGAGGCTTTTACCTAGGTTGAAAAGCAATGGAGAATTATGACAGAGATGTGACATGATATGACACATTTTTAAAGGATCCTGCTAGCTAACATGTTGAAAATAGAACAAAGGCAAATGAGAGTGGAAGCTGAAAAACCAATTAGGAGGCCATTGCAACAATCGAAGCCAGAGCTAATAGTGGCGGGCACCAGAGTAGTAGCAATGGTGGTGGTAATGACTGGGAGAATTACAGGTTCATTTTGAAAGTAGAATTAATAAGTCTAACCCTCATTTTTTCAAACCCTCATGTCAAAGGTTGACTTTCAATAGATTGCAGTGAAGGAATTGCTTGCTATATACAAACTGCCACCCAAAAGAAGCAGGTTATCTACAAATGATTTAGCACCAAGTTAAATGATTTGGCATCCGTGTTGCTGAGTGATTGAATGTGGGATGTAAAAAGTTTTGTCCTGAGCAATTGGAAGAATAGAGTTGTCACACTGAAACAGGAAGAACAGTGAGAGAAGCATGTTAGAGTAGAAAACTATCAGGAGTTCAGTTTTGGATACAAATTTGAAATGCCTCTTAGACATTCATGTGGATGTTTCAAGAAGGGATATACAAGTGTAAATCAGAGAAATAGTCTGAAGATTGACCACTTAGATCAAATTCTCTAGAAATGGAGCCTGTGATGGAGGTTCTTATTGCAAGTGAATTTTTAAGGAACTGCTTTTAGGAGGAACCTGTAGAAAAGAAGCTAGACCAAAAAAAGAGAGAGAGAGAGAGAGAGAAGTGGCTTGAGGATTAATCTAGATTCAGTTTGATACTGTGGGAGATCTGGAATGTAGACTGCTAAAAACCTAAACCCCTAAATTCTGTCAAATCTTCTTTACCAATAGAGACAACTCTTCCTCCCTTATGTGAGGAAGTTGGTCATCCCTTCCCTACAGAGCCTGTAACAGACTCATTGTAAGGCATTGCTGATCCTACTAATGACCCACCCACCTCCTCTCATTGCTTCTACACCTATAACCAGACTCAAGTCCCAGCAGACCCAAGAGAACACGACACAAACTGTGACCCGTGAGTAGGTCTGATACACAAATCCTAGAGGAGGACTGCTGGATCAAAGGGTGCATACATTAGTAAATTTGATGGGTACTGCCAAATTGCCTTTCACAGAGATTGTATTATTGTATACTCCCATTAGAAATATTTCCCCAATAATTTGGCAGTGTTATCAAAGTTTAGAAGTTTTGCCAAATGGGCCTGACCAGCGTGGCTCAGTGGCTGAGTGTCGACCTATGCACCAGGAAGTCACAATTCGATTCCTGGTCAAGGCACATGCCCAGGTTGTGGGCTCGATCCCCAGTGTGAGGTGTGCAGGAGGCAACCAATCAATGATTCTCATCATTGATGTTTCTATCTCTCTCTCCTTCTCTCTCTTCCTCTCTGAAATCAATAAAAATATATATTTTTTAAATAGCTTTGCCAAATGGATAGTTAAAAATGGCATCTCAGTATGGTTTTAATTTTCATTTTTCTTATTATAAATTAGGTTGATTGTCTTTCGTATGTTTAAGGACCATTTACATTTCCTTTTCTGTGAATTATATATTTGCATTATTTGCTCTTCCTCTTCTACTTTTGGGTGGTTGCTCTTTTTCCTATCATTTCTAAAAGCTCTTGATAGAGATTAAACTTTCATTATGAAGATATTTTCTCAGCTTATTACATTTTTTGTAAGTTTCTTATGAATTTTTATTATGCAGAATTTTTTTACTTTCATTGATTAATCTTTTCTGAGTTTAAAGATTTTCTACACCCCAAGGTTTTTGTTTGTTTTTTGTTTTTGTTTTATTTCAATACAAGGCTTTTATTGTACATTTTTATAGTTTCACAAACAACTGTGACAAATCATTTGGCATCTTGATGTTTCTATAGCTGGACAACTTAGATCTTATTCATCAGCCTGCTGAACTGTTCCTTTTTCAGAAACATAGATACCATCCCAAAATTTTCTGATATCCTGTTTTTAACTGTTGTGGCTTGCTGAATTTGATACAAGTTCAATGTCATTTCTTTCAAGAATCAACTCATCTTTCTGGGCTTGAGATACTGAACAAGCAATGCCTGACCTCATCCGAACTCTGCGGATGTATTTTTCTCCCAAGAAATTTCTAATTTCAACAAGAGAACCATTCTCCTGAATAATGACATTGATGGGGAAGTGAGCATACATAGACCTCATCTTGTAACGGAAGCCCAGTGTAACACCCTTGATCATGGTCTGTACATGACTACAGACAGTGCGAACTGTAGCCAGTTCCTTTCTATTTCCCCACCACTTGTCAACCCAGAGCCTCTTCTTTTTCTTTCCAAGGAGACTGAGCTCTACACTGATGTGGTTGAAGTCCCTCCGCAGGGTGCCTCTGGGGACCTTCACAATAACAGTGCATCTCTTCAGAGTGATGTCCACATTTTCTGGGCTGTCCACAGTCTGATTGCTGAGAATGGTCTTCATCCTCGCAGTAGATGCGGCAAAGAGCTACACCCCAAGGTTTTAAGAGAATCCTCATCCTCCCATTTTTTTCCAGTAATTGTACTTTTTCTTTTTTAACTTTAAAATACTGTATTTGATTTGGACTTTATACTGGTATAGAGTTTGAAGTATGGCAGCACCTTAACACTTGGAGTGCGGGTGAATTTCCCGCCAAAATATAAGATGGCTCTGTCTTTTGGTTTTGTTCCAGAATGGTCTTCATCCTCGCAGTAGATGCGGCAAAGAGCTACACCCCAAGGTTTTAAGAGAATCCTCATCCTCCCATTTTTTTCCAGTAATTGTACTTTTTCTTTTTTAACTTTAAAATACTGTATTTGATTTGGACTTTATACTGGTATAGAGTTTGAAGTATGGCAGCACCTTAATTTGTTTTTTCAGGTGGCCATCCTGTGATCTCAATACCAGTTATTAAAGGATTTATTTTTTCTGATTTGAAATATTACTTTTACACCAAATTCCCATATTATAGGTATTCACTTTCTGGACTGTCTATTCTACTGGGGTATAGTCACACACACTTTTTAAATTTTGAGGTATGATAGAACTTGTCTACCTTCATCATTTTCTTTTTTTGGCTTCTTTCAATTTCCATAATAACCTTAGAATATGTTAGTTTTATTTTTATAAGTTAAAAGAGAGGGGGGAAAGTTGGCAATGAGTTAATAGTAAAGGTTGTTTTAAGCCACTGTTAGGATAATCTGTAATACAGCAACAGTAACTGTAATACATGCATACCAGGGGCTCTTTTGCATTTCAGAGTGAGTCTTTTTTTCTGCAGAAAGTATATTTCACTGGAATTTTAGCTTTGCCCCCCTGACTCCTCTCCATACTACTTCTTTCATTTTCTCTTTGGATTCTACCTGATCTCATCTGTGATTGGCAGTGATTTCACATCATCTGAAATTTGTGGATTATCTATCTCTTACCTTCACTGAAAATGGAGTTTTTAGAGTCCTTTCCAACTTTCTTGTTGCTTCTGCGTAATATCCATGGAAAGAAGGGGATTTATGCAGTTGTGCTTATAGCAAAAGTCATTGTTTTTTAATGTGTACTTCCATAAGCAACAGTGGTGATAAGTGTCTTTTCACATTTTACTTGGTGATATCTATTATCTATTTTTCTCATATTACCACCAGTCTATTAGTTTGCTGTATTTTTCTTATTGACTTGAGGAAGCTCTTTGTATATTAAAGATACTAACTTTTATCTATTAATAAAGTTTGTAAATATTTTCTGAGTCTGTTATTTGTACTTTAAAATTGAAGAGGACTTCAGTGATTCCTACATTTATAGTATCTTTTAATTATAAAAATCAGTTTAAACTTTTTGTAGTCAAATTAGCCAATTATTTCCATTATGAGCTGATATTTCAAGTCATGCTTAAGAAGGCCTAAGAAAACAGGGCTTCTCTGGTTTGTAGGAGCTGAAGAGTATGTACATACTTTACAATTACATACTAAAAGATGGGGTAAAAGCAGTCAACATTCCTGTAAAACGTAAAGGCAGTATATCCTATATAATAAAAGGCTAATATGCAAATAGACCAAACAGCAGAACAACCGGAACAATTGAACAACCAGTCGCTATGACGGGCACTGACAACCAGGGGGGCATGTGCGGATCATTGTGGGCATTAGCCGCAGTGGGATGGTGGAGCAGGTGAGCAAGGGCACCAGACCAAGGCGGGGCACTGGTCGCTGTCATCAGGGCGATCCTTTGGTGGTTACTGAAAATTCTTTGCTCCCGCACGCCACAGTCCCGCCCAGAGCTCGCACCTGCTGTCGGCGCCGGCCCTACTCACACCCACTGCCAGCACCAGCCCCACTCACACCCGCAGCCAGCACCGGAGCTGCCACTCGCACACGCTGCCAGTGCCTGGCACCGGTCCTGATCACTCGTCACTATCAGCGGGTGCGAGCCGCGGCTGCCAGCCCTAGTAGCCCCTGAGGGCTTCTTCACCTCCCCCTGCTCCTGAGGGGAGATCGGGGCAGCAGCTGCCGCTCGAACCCGCTGATGGCGCTGGCCCCAATCGCTCTGCACCATCAGCCAGTTCAAGCTGGGCCAGAGACATCAGCACGTAGGAGCAGCGGCAGCAGGAGTGGGGCTGCCAGCAGACAGGGGACCTGGGGCCACAGTGGGAGTGGCCTAACAGGGGTGCAGAGGATGGGCTGAGACCCGCCCCTGTGCCTACCGCAGCTTCGCAGCCCACAGTTCCTTTCAAGGTGCACAAATTCGTGCACTGGGCTCCTAGTTATAGAATAAAATTGAGGGGAAACGGAATTATCAAAAAGGAAGGGCTTTTAAAAATTAAATAATATTTGCCCTAACCGGTTTGGCTCAGTGGATGGAGTGTCGGTCTGCGGACTCAAGGGTCCCAGGTTCGATTACGGTCAAGGGCATGTACCTTGGTTGCGGGCACATCCCCAGTAGGGGGTGTGCAAGAGGCAGCTGATCAATGTTTCTCTCTCATCGATGTTTCTAACTCTCTATCCCTCTCCCTTCCTCTCTGTAAAAAAAAATCAATAAAATAAATTTTTTTTAAAAATTAAATAACATTTAACTTAAATATCAGCTGTCTTTAGACTTTATCTCTCTGGAATTTATGATAAAATGTTGGCTCTAGCCCTAGCTGGTTTGGCTCAGTGGATAGATCACTGGCCTGCAGACTGAAGGGTCCCAAGTTTGATTTCAGTCAAGGGCCCATGCCCAGGTTGTGGGCTCAATCCCCAGTGGGGGGCATGCAGGAGACATCCAATCAATGATTCTCTCTCATCATTGATGTTTCAATCTCTCCCTCTCCCTGTCTCTCTGAAATCAAAAAAATATATATATTTTTTAATGTTGGTTCTAACTTTATTTTTCCAATTGCAGTACCAATATATACTTATTTACTCCCACATCAATACCACACTAAATACTATAGCACTAATGTATCCCAGTTCTATCATTCCCTAGCTATGAGATCTCGGTAGACTCCTCTAAGCCTCAGTTTCCACTTTGCAGTATTGTTTTAAGTATTAAGTATAGAAAGTATTTAAGTAAATAAATAGTTTAGCCATGCCTCACAAAAAATAGGCATTCACAAATGTTATTAATACCATCATAAAGCATGATGAAATTAGACTATAGGTAAAAATTAACAATAATAAGTTACTATGTATTTTTATTTATTTTTTATTGTTTAAAGTATTACACATATTAGTACACATATCTCCCTTTTTTTCCCCATTGACCTTCCCCCAGCCTCCCCTACCCCCTGTCGCATGCCCTCATCCCACCCCCCACCCCAGTGTATTGTGTCCATTGGTTGTGCTTATATGCATGCATACAAGTCCTTCGGTTGATCTCTTTACCTTCCTCCCCAACACTCCCCAGCCTTCCCGCTGTAATTTGACAGTCTGTTCGATGCTTTACTGCCTCTGTATCTATCTTTTTGTTCATCAGGTTATAATGTTCTTTATTTTCCATAAATGAGTGAGATCATGTGATATTTTTCTTTCATTGCCGGGCTTATTTCACTTAGCATAATGCTCTCCAGTTCCATCCATGCTGCTGCAAATGGTAAGAATTCCTTCTTTTTTATAGCAGCGTAGTATTTCATTGTGTAGATGTACCATAGTTTTCTAATCCACTCATCTGCTGATGGGCATTTAGGCTGTTTCCAAATCTTAGCTATGGTGAATTGTGCTGCTATGAACAAAGGGGTGCATATAACCTTTCTGATTGGTGTTTCTAGTTTCTTGGGATATATTCCTAGAAGTGGGATTACTGGGTCACATGGGAGTTCCATTTTTAGTTTTTTGAGGAAACTCCATACTGTTCTCCACAGTGGCTGCACCAGTCTGCATTCCCACCAGCAGTGCTCGAGGGTTCATTTTTCTCCGCATCCTCGCCAGCACTTGTCGTTTGTTGATTTGTTGATGATAGCCATTCTGACAGGTGTGAGATGGTACCTCATTGTCGTTTTGATTTGCATCTCTCAGATAATTAGTGACTTTGAGCATGTTTTCATATGTCTCTTGGCCTTCCTTCTGTCTTCTTTCGAAAAGTATCTATTTAGGTCTGTTGCCCATTTTTTTATTGGATCATTTATCTTCCTTTTATTAAGTTGTATGAGTTCCCTGTAAATGTTAGAGATTAAACCTTTAGCAGTGATAACATTTGCAAATATGTTCTCCCATACAGTGGGCTTTCTTGTTGTTTTGTTGATGGTTTCTTTTGCTGTGCAGAAGCTTTTTATTTTGATGTAGTCCCATTTGTTTATTTTCTCTTTAGTTTCCATTGCCCTAGGAGCGGTATCGGTGAAGAAATTGCTTCAGCATATGTCTGAGATTTTTGCTGCCTGTGGATTCCTCTAGTATTTTTATGGTTTCATTACTATGTATTTTTAAAATACAACAAAACCTGCTTCTCTTTTATTTTTTCATGTGTACAAGCTCCAAGGGGACATGTGGGGAAATCATTCAGAGTATGGCAGAAGTTCTGTTCTCCTAGGCCAGTGGTCGGCCAAGCACGGCTCGCAAGCCACATGCGGCTCTTTGGCCCCTTGAGTGTGGCTCTTCTACAAAATACCACATGCGGGCACGCACGTACAGTGCGATTGAAACTTCGTGGCCCATGCGCAGAAGTTTTCGGCCTGGGCGAGTCTATTTTGAAGAAGTGGTGTTAGAAGAAGTGGGGGGTGTCGGTCGGTCAGGCGAAGGGAGACGCTATGCAGCGCAGGGGAGGTGCGTGCGATTCATGCACAAGTTGAGTGAGCCAGTCAGTCAGCAGTCTCATTGTACAGTGGTTAGTGCTAGTCGCGTCTGCAAATCGCACGCGGGTGACAAAAGTACCTACTCGAAGCATAAAATTACCTGTATTTTTCCAACCAGCTGCAAATCCTACAGGTATTTTTGTCATCAATTTAAGAATTGTAATTATTTTGTGTTGGTGGCTTTATTATTATAAAATGAAACATTTTTTTAGGTGCCCTGTTT